AATGAAGAGTAGTTCAAATGTCTACTCGTTTAAATAACGCGTTTTCATTGTCCGAACGACTTACTACACATTTATTCGCATAAAAATTGGAAAAAAATAATATACAAAAATAAAGCTGAATTATTAATTACAGGAGAGCGTCCTACGAAAACTATTTTGTACATTAAATCCAGAACAAACTGAAATTGGTCTCCATTATATCAAACTGACCAGGTAAACATTCAATTACAGGCAAGCAACATTCACACTTTATTCTTGAGAATCGACGTGTATTAACATGCAGGTTTGGTTTTTGCGTTCTTATTTCGCTCGAATTTTTAGAAAAATGGTCAAAGTTTCATTGGTTTTAGATAAAATGTATTAGATTTATTATGTAAAGTTATTAAGAACATAATGCAGTTGTATATTGTTTTTGGAAGAAATATTAAAGTTTTGTAAGTAAAGATAATCATATTATAGGATTAATGATTAATTAACCCTTTATTGGAGAATATAGTATCTTGATCGTTGTACATATTTCATGCTCATTTAATGCTACATTCTGCGGTTTTAGCAAAACTTAACAAAAATTTTTTTTCTGCATGAAATAAAAAATCTGGTTTCTTTTAACCATTTAAAGAATAGAGTATCCATATAAATCTTTTTATTTTTTTTAACGAGTAGGCCAAATGTCCGATTAATTGTAATGGGAAGTAGTTCAAATGTACCGTAATGTAATAAAATACAACATTAAATACGTTTCCTATGTTTGAAGGATAGTAGTTCAAATAATCCGAAATTAATAGTGAGTAGTTCAAATGAACTATACCTTAAAATATTCCGCTCTGGTCTCTGGTCACTTTAAGCTTAGATTTTTAATTCGATTTTATTTAGAGAGCTTCAAGAACACTTTCTCTAAGACAATGACCTATAATTTTCAATTCTTTAAATGGCAATCTTTTAATTTATTCTCTTCGTAACAAAGATCAAGATATAACTCAAAAGCGCCTTTTTCTATCGCATATTTACTCTCACGTCGACTCACAAGAATCTCTCGTTCGTACCAGTCCCGCTCTCACGGAGAGGGTGAGCGCTTGTCCGCCACCCCCTACGATCAGAGGACAACGTCGGGCAGACTAGGCGGCCACTAGGCGCGCGAATCGTTTTCGTGCACGATTTTCCGCTCCTTGTAGTAGATCTCCTCGCTCTCCTTGTCGCACATCAGCAACACCACGCCGCTGAAGAGGAAAATGGCCACGCCCCAGCCCACGCCGTACGCCCAGCCGAACTCCCATATCGTTCGGTTGCCTACAACAGAAGATATAATAGAATTAGCATTGATACCAAAAGTCGTATTGTCGCGACTCTAGTTTGTAATAGTTAGTCTAGGTTTGTCCGGGGTTGTCTTTCAATTAAAAATAAAAAATAGTTCAAATGTACCATCAATAAAATATAGCAATAAACACGTTTCCTACTGTTTACAGTTAGTAGTTCAAATAACCCGCCATTAATAGTGAGTAGTTCAAATTAACTATTCCTTTTTGAAAAAAGTCTTTATACCCTCTTTATACCGATTTGGTCATCGAAACTGCGTGGATTTTAACGTGTAAGACAGTAATATCGAGAGCTTAATGGAAAATCAAATTTATTAAAAAGATGGATATTTCGGGATTTTGCATCAAAATTTCAAACCGCACAAGAAGACGTTTTTGAAAAATGCTGCATCTAGAGTTGAAACTTTTTTTTACAATTAGTTACTCATTTTACTACAGCTGTAGACCAGGCAGATGAAGTGACCAGAGCTAGTGTATGATTATATTGAGAGTTAGTTGGTTTTTAAATACTACATAAAACTTACCTAAGTTTAGTTCCGCCGCAAAACATACGGGGTATATAATAAGTGCTATGAGTATAGAAGCCACTGCAAAAAAAATCCAATTAAAATCTCATTAGATCATATGAATCATAGAATATGTTTCATTATAACAATTCTTATGAAACATATTTAAAATTATTAGAGATATTAAAATCACAGATGAATACTTACGGGCTAGACCCATCACTATAACAGCGAACCTGTAGTATTTGAACTTGGTGTGGTGGTCTTTCGTACGAAGTCCTAGACCTGTCAAAACGGTGGCTACCAAGTCTGTCAAAAGCGTTATGACGCAGAGAGCTGCCGAAGCTTTGATGTACGCTGAAAAGAAAATATTTACTTTTTATTTATTTTTAACTTTTTATCCTATATTTGTCGCTGTCGCCGATGCTGACCGGATTCAGTGCGCGGTTTACATTATTTTATATACAGAGTGGCCCATCGAAAACGTTCCGCAAGGCATAACGGCCAGGGTAATTTTTTTTCAGAAAATCCATAAACACGTCAATTTTGTTTGTGAGGGGGACAACTTTTGCCCCAAAAATAATTGCAAAATCTTCAACCCTGTAAGCGGGGGTGTCATCCCCCAACTTTTTTCAAATGGGAAGGGGGGTCAAGTGGCGCCGCAATGAAAATAGCTTTCTATTCTCTATATTTCCCAGCTTCGTTTTTGAAAATCGGTCGAGTCATTGAGAAAATATGATGGATTGAAATTTGAAAAGTTTATTTAAACATTTATCAGAGTAAATGATATGGATAAATTCCTTCGACTAATTTGCTGTTTTTTCTTATTATTTCTAGATGTTTACGCATTTTTCACTTGCCACAAGGTTGAACGATCAGATGCGGTAGTTGCTAGATAGCTGTTCTGTGACTTGTGCGTTGAAGTTTCTTCTCAATATCGTTAAACTTTTTTACAATTAATTATGGTGTACTCACATGCAGAAAAAGTGAAAATAATCGAACTTTATTTTAAAAATAATGAATGTGGCAATCGGTTTGCGCAGATATTCAATGAACGCCATCCTGACAAACACCTTTATGGCAAAATTGTTCGCGAGTTAGAAAAATTTCGCGAAACTGGTTCCGTTATGAATAAAAAGAGGCGGAGGGAAAATCCTGTAGTAAATGAAGCTATGGAGGTATTCGTATTGGGCCAAGTTGCCATGGATAGTATGCTGAGTACAAGAAAATTAGCCAATGAGACCGGCATGAATCGTACAAGTGTCCAAAGATATTAAAAAAAGACAAGTTCCACCCGTACAAAATTCAGTTGGGTACAAGAACTCAACGAAGACGATTTTGATCGTCGCGGGCTGGTATTTTTGGAAATTCTATTGTGGGTCAGTTTAACGATATTGAGACCGCACCTGATCGTTCAACCTTGTGGCAACTGAAACAATGCGTAAACATCTATAAAATGATTAATTTCTATGTATACTGAATCAACCGCCGATAGCTCTGAGTTAAGTCGTTCGGGGCTTTACAAATACATTATAAAAACCAAGCCAAGGTAATACTCTATTAATACGAATGGAAGCGAACCAAAACACGCTTAAATATTTTGACTACTACAACCGCAACTTTTTCTATTTAATCATCCGCTCTCTTATCTATGCAAATATTCAATTAAGCCGCGCCAAAGCTCGAGCCGGGGGGCGATTTTGGCCCCCCATCCCCCACTTACACACGCCACCGCCAACACAACTGTGCAGCAGCCGGCCAAAGTTTGCTCGTTAAAATGGGACCCTCAAGGGCCTAGAGGAGGATTTGAGTCGCCCAACGCCAAAAAGGGAATTAAATTTGTTTCGTTTTGCAGGCGCGATAGAGAAACTGATTCTGGTTTTAATTATTGTGCTACAGTACCCGAGGTGGGTATTAAATAATAATGATATCTCTTTATTTTAACAGAAAAAAAAATAGAAAAAGAAACATCAGAAAGAGAGAAATGTTTATAGGTATACATTTCATCTCCAGACCAAGACGTCTTGGTCTTGCATTTGCCCATCATTAAATGGCATCTACATCGAAACTACTAAAGCTCCAACATCAGATTAACTTAATTCTAAATTCTTAATAATGTTAACAAAAATCCAGGATTAATTTCTTACCTACGTCCCTGGCTGTGTAACAACCCGCGCTCCCCCTAGTGTTGAAAGGCAGCGGCTCGGGAGCGTTTTCTTCGATGCAGTGCATGAAGAGACCCTGGCGCCATCCGGCGGCCATCAGCCAATCGGTGGACACCAGGCCCATGATCATCAGGACTATCACGATCAGACCACAAATAAAAGCGATCACCTGCAACAACAAGAAATAAATATTATTACAAGACTTAATTATTTCATAAAATCAATCTTTAGAAAAGTGTAGACATATTCACCAGGGACGCGCATATACGTTATCACTGGAATATTTTTTTAAAAAGTTTGTGCGCCACTGATTTTCAACTGCTTTTTGCAGCTTTTAGCAAGCAAGAAAATTATAATAAATCGAAAAAAATTAAGACTTAGGAGAGATACAATTTTATATACTAATTCATTGTAATATAAATAAATAATAAACATACTGTAATTATATTCCTGCAGATTGAGTGAAAAGTTTTGTTGTTTATATATCTACTCTACATATTATAAACGCGTGTTCAAATATTAATCTTGAGGAATATATATCAACATAAAACGAGATGTCATATCAACAACAGCTATTTTAGAAATGTCTAGGTTTACTTATTTCACTGAGATTTACGAAAAAAAAATCCTTTGCCTCGGGTACAGATACCGACACGTTTTGGAAATAGCTCAAAACCAAATAAAATTGAACGAGGCAATAGGAAACGCCAAAAAAATCCCCCACGCCCTCTTCACGAGTAGTTTTCAGGCGCTTTTAAGAATCGAAAGTAGGTCGAGGCAAACCGAAATGGGTCAAGACAACTGGAAATAAACCGAAATGCGATAAAGTTGGGCGATGAAACGCGATCTTGACCTGCTCCGAGGTGTTTTCCGCATAGTGTAGAGGCTGTTTTGGACTCGATAAAATCTCTATTCCAGTTGAGTAAAATTTAACTTTTCCAAACACAAATAAATCATATCATTTTATTCTTCAAGGAACTAAGGAAGTTAATAATTTTAGTTCACTTCCTTCGTTTATGATACATAAAAACTGCCTTTTAAAAATAAACAAAATAATAGTAATGTTACACACAAGTTTGCAGAACTGCAAGTTGCGGGAATTCCATCTGAGTTACGTAGTGTGTACGTAGGTATATTTCATTGATGACTACAGTAACACTCACAATTCATACAGAAATGTATAAACATCCACCTTACAATAGTATGATTCAGTCACTTGAAGAAAGAAAAAACAAGTAGATATGACTTATCAATTCCGATTTTTATTCAAATAAACCAATAATTGCAGTACTTCAACTGATAAAAGTTGCACAAATATTCAAGGAAAATATTGATAATTTTCTACTAGTAGATTATTATAAACTACTTAGCATTTTTAAGTGATTAAAATGAGGTAATAATCGATAAAAAGTAAGATTAGTTCCATTAAATTGGTAAAAAAGTACTTCAAAATATTTTAAATTAAGATATCCTTAATAAATCATATTAATTCATTCTGTACACAATTCTTAAATTGAAAAATTAATTAACTAAAATTAACGAAATTATTAAATTATCAAACATTCATTTAGTTGATTCTAATAATCTTCTTTCGGGTTAAAAACAGGTCAATTATCTAAAAAAAAAAGATTTATTTCTAAATATGTATGAGATTTGCCAACATTTATGGGATACAGGACAGAACTCAGGAAATATTGAACGAATAAGTATTATTTTCAGGGTCGGTTTCCTTCTAGGTCTCTTAATTCCACGATGTGATTTTTGTGGTTCATCTGTGGTCCGTCCTTCTTGGCAGGTATCCTGTCCATTGCCGCTTGAGGGATTTGATTCTGTGGATGACATCTGTTCGTAGAAAATTAAGTCGAATTTGATAAACTTCGATTTAAAATATATATTCTATGCCTACCGTGACGTCTTTTTTATTGGATCATAGGATATTAAAAACGACCAATAATACAAAATTTAAAAAAATGCACTAAATGTTTACCGATACGAACGAATAACAAGGTACGTATTTTTTTAAACTCGCTATTCACAAATTTCGTTTTTTTTTAAATATAGGACACAGGGCACAGTATTATTATCTACTGGTTTATTCAATGTACAAAATATGTATGTATAGATGGATTTATACTTCATACACCTACACTAGCATGAAATATTTTGTCCCTGTTTCATTTCAGTAGAGATTAAAATATAAAACAACCGTTGAAAATATAGAAAAAAAAATCAAATTTGTTTATTTAAATAACTATAGGAGGTTTAAAATTCAACTGTGTACGATGATTGGTATTTAATATTTTGTATATATTTTATTGATTGAACCTTGTTTTAAAACAATAACATTTAGAGTTGTCAAGGGTTGAAAACAATCAGAAAAAAAAACCTGAAATTACTTTAAAAAGGAGAAGAAAAAATAAACAAACATAAAAAACTGACAACTAACAACTCAATAATTTTAGATATTTAAGTTAGCTGTTATTCTTATTTTTTTGGCAACGTAAATTATTTTCCTTTAATTATTTTTTATGCTGATAAATTATACATCCTTTTAG